CTGCTACACATCACTTACAGGTGCATTTGTCACCGTTATATTAAATTAGGATCACGAAAACCTAATTTATGGCCATGAGTGACATTTCATAAAGCCTGAGAAAACAGAATTACAGGAGAGCATGCACCAAATCATGGTATTTTTTGCCAGCGCAGTTTGTCAACAAAACAGTTCTTCCAAGATGATCCTTTCTACAGTACAAATTATACGATGGAAAGTTAAGAACATGCCAGAGACAAATCTGTGTTCCTCACTAGTAAGCTGAATTTGAGCTGGAAGTGTGCCCTTGGCCCAGGCAAGGATACCACCAACATGCTGGGATGCTTCAGTGAGGGCATAACCAGGAGATGATCAGTTCTTTCCAGCTGCCTCTAGTTTTCCACCACTCCAAGAGGGAAACACAGAAACTGATGAGACCCCAGAGGAGATCCTCGAAGATGGTCAGGGGGCTGAAGCATGTGAAATACTGGGAAAGGCTAAAGAGTATGTTTTGGTTTAGTAAACAGAAGTCTAAGGTACTGATCTGTCTACAGTCCTCAACCACCTTATACAAAGTTGTTCAGAAGTGAGATCCAGACTCTCCTGAGAAGTGCACAGTGAAAGGGCAAGATGCAAGGATCACAAATTTCAGTACCATAAGTTCCAGCTGGTTCTAAAAGGAAGTAAAAAAATCACCTTGAGAGTGGTGCAGAGGTCATGAAATTTCCATTCCGGGGGGGGGTAGGGGGGGTGGGGTGGCTCAGAATGCAGCTGAACACGGCCCTGTGGAATTCTGAAGGTAGCACTGCTTTGATGGGAGGGGTGGAAATCAGAATAAATGACCTCCATGTGCCTTCTAACCCAACTTTTTCCATGATTCTGTGAGTGTTCCTGCCTCAGAGCTACGCATTTGCCGTTTTTTTATATATATGTCTGTTTTTAATAAAAAACAGCTAAAGGTTATCTTCATTTGGGCTCAGATTCAACAAAAGAGTAAGTGGAATTTGCATGGAATTTGGGGACCTATATTTAAAAATCTGACCCTATTAAATCATGTCTGTCTTTAGAGTTAACATTTCTCTGGGACTTAAAGTTCTGCTCCTGAGAAGGCATAGCTTTACATGAGTTTTGATGGTTTTGGCTTCTATCTTTTGCCTTATTTCCCCTGTGAACTATAAACTAGTCTTTCCTGTTCAGGTGCTTTGAAACACTGGCTCATCACAAAATAGTCATAAGCATCACTTCATTTTAAAACAATACAAAATTATAACCAACAAAACTGCCATCTTTTTAAATATGAGCTCAGCTGTTGGATCACTTGCTCAGAAAGGGTGAAAACTATCCTCAAGAACCTCTCCAACTGAAGGAATTTAAATCCACATCCCCTACTTTTTTTAGAAGTGTCAAGGGAGTACTGGTGACTTAATTTCCTTAGCTCAATGAGTCTTCATGCTTCCTTTAGAGCTTCACGATCAGAGGCTTACATGGAATTTGAGTATGCAGTTCTCTTTGCCTCTGAGCCTATGCCAAAAGACAATCAATAGTTAAACTATGGGTTGGGTTTGGCTGAACATTTCTTTTTTGAACATCCTCAGAAAAAACCTGCACAGCCATAAAACTATATTTTTCACCTGAACAATTCAATGTCTCCTTCAGATCACTGAGAGCTTTATTTTGGATATTTGATTGAAAATTCATTCAGGCACTTAAAAAGCATGGAAGAATGAATGAGTGCACATTACATTATACAAGACACTGATCTCTGTTATGAAGCAGTAAATGAAGATCTTTCAGTGCTAGGAACCATATTTTTCAAGTTACCTTCACAGATTGCAGGAAAACCAAAGGAATATAGAATTTCTTGTCAAAATGGATCCATCATACATATCAACCCAAATTATCATTTGTAAACAACAAATTCACTAGTTTGACTACCAGGTAAGTGAGTGGAAGAAACAATGCACTTAGATTTAAAAATATAAAAAAAGGATCAGAAAAACAGAAAATAATGGAAGTATATCAGGCTTTCTAGTGCAACATCTTTGCTCAAATATTGAGAGATAGTACTCGTAGACCGTAGAGGTCTACAAGCTCCTATCAGAATTTCTCAAAAAATCTGGGTTCCAAACAGGTTTTTTCCCTTATCCTCCTCTCCCTAAGATCTACTGAAAATGGTTAAAAAAAAAAAACAAAAACAAAACCCCAAAAAGAAAGCAATTAATAATGTATCAGGAGACTTCAACATTTGTCATTCCATGGTTTTACAGACCTTTCTTTGTCCAGGTATCTCCATAAAGCTCAAGGACTGATCAGATCTCACATATCTGGCATCTTTTCCAGTACAGGTAGAGGACACTTCCATAATACTCCTTGCCAGAGGACCTGATCCCAAGCCCAAGCACATCCACGAGGAATGCTTGTACTGTCTTTATTAAGAAACCACAAATCTTAAAACTTGAAAGCTCAATTTTGTTGGTGTAAAATATATATATTAAAATCTCAGTTTAATTTTCTAGTCTTTTGCTTTCTGTTGGATTTATAGTTTATCTGGTTTTCTAACAATGTAGTAACTGGGAACTTTAAAAGACTTTGGTGTCATAACTGAAAAATTAAAGCAGAGCATATGCTTCTAAACAAAATACAGCATTAGTTAATGCCATTTTTTTCTTAGATCAGTGCATTTGAAAATCAACTATCAAGTTTTCCAGCTTTTAAAAATGCAAAACAATTGGAAAGAAAAATCACATCTTTCCCAGATAACATTCAACCCCTGATTAAATAAAGATGTGCGAAGGCAGAGATACTTCATGCCTCAGGAGACAGCCACAGTGGAACTGCGAGTGTATTTTATATGTGAATTAGAGGTAAGCTGTAATGACATGAGATGAAAGGCTCAGCCATGATTTTAATAAAGAGGGAGACAGTACTTCCCTGTGGACTCCATATGCAAAAGAGTGAGACTCAACAAGAATATATGAAAAGAATCAGCAAAAACTACTATAAATGTTTCAAAGTTATAAGATCACCATTAAAATTCATCACATTTTACCAAAGCTGAAAATTTCAGTTTGGAGGGTAAAGTAAGCTTTAACACGTTCCCGATAGTTTGTCATATAAAATTGAAAAAATAAAGCTATGCCATCAATGAGCTAGAAATATTTTTTAGATAAGACAGAATTGGAGAGTTTGAAACCATAACATTTCATTTCTAAAGGTTTGTAATAATATGATCTGAAAAGAATTTCATTAAATCTGTTATTTCAAAAGCATGTTTTTTATTGAAATAAGCCAACACAATTTAGTAGCACTATGATCACAGGCGTTTTAGTTCCTTTTAGCAATCCTCAGAAAAAGCTGCTACCTACTGCTCTATTGGTATTTTTTTTATGGATACAGCAGAATTCCAAGGAACTGTTATTTCTTTCCCACACCACCATTAAATGGAGGAAAATATTTAAGATTCTGCACAGGTCTCTCTTTTCCCCCACGTTTAAAATAAATAAATCAAAAAAATTAAAAAAGAGACACCTCTTTGTAAGGAAAACATATGAAAAGAGCAAAATGAATGGGATGAAATGCTTAAAGGGAAAAAAAACCCCACATTCCTGCTTTATTTGATCCTTTGTGATAATCACACTCCTGGCACCCTGCCAGTGAGGCTGAGCATGCTGATGTCTGGCCAAGTATAGTAATCCCTTGGTTCAAGTCTCAGGTCTGTGATGAAAATTACAAAGCAGGGACAAAATCAAAATGCCACCTGTGATTTTATTCTGAAACTAATTTGATGGGGAAAAAAATACAATGCAAACAGCCTTTTTAGTAGAGTCTACAGAACTATGACTAAATTGAAAGCAACGCAAGTGGATAGAGGTAGCTATCATGCAAATACATTTGGATCTGCAGGCATTCCTTTTAAAGAGAGTGGTAGATGCCTTTCTGACAGGCAAATTGCTTTGAAACGGTATTTGAAGTCTGAGGTCAAACTTTTAAAATTATAATTTTAGCTTGCATTTTCCTTTATTCTAGAGTCTCTTTGCGTCTCCTACATAACTCATTTGAAACCAACAAAACCAGGAATTAAGCCACCATTCATTATAGGTCAACAAACCCCTGAAGGAAAAAACTTTTCCTTTCCCTTTTCATTCAGCAGTCTGTATTTGAACTAGTTGCTCACAGATAGGTGTATTCAAGTTAGTAATCCAGCCAGCAGAGCCTTCTACACTATTATTCAGATGCAACACAGAAAAAAAAAAAAAACAACAAAAAATCATGTCACTCTTTTTAAGTGTCTATTACATTTTCTTACATTTTACCAAAAGGTTGTACATTATTAGCAGTACCGATCAAAGTTTATTTGGGGTTTTTCCTAAAAGATATTGAAGGTGATTCAGATCTGACTCCTAGGAAAAACCCAGCCCAACAAAACAGATTTTATTTCCTTTATGTTACTTCAATAAAAATCACTGTTCACTATTTTACTACCACCTTCTCTTTTGACAGTCTCCTGCTATTTCTATACATGTTTACTGCTCCTCTGCACTAGTAAGAACTTGTATGAAAACAAGAGGACAATCCCTGACCTCCAGGACTCCACTGAAAACACTGCATTTCAACTATTTTGCAGTTGCTGCTATTTTCCTTCTTCAGGAAGGCTCTCTATAGATATCCTATTCTCTTTGATATTCAAGTCTGTTTCTGCACTCTATTTCTTCCCGTTACTGACAGCGCTAATTGAAGGAAGGCTTTAATAGCCACCTTAACCTTCTCATACTTCTAGGCCATTCTTTTTCTATGGTTTCTTTTGCAACTGAAAAGAAGCCCAACTTACCACATCACACAATTCAGTACTTATTAAATTCTTTGTTTAAAATATGCAGATATGCTCACAAATTTCTTAACTACACATACACACTAATATGTGGAGAGAGAACTGCAGGTATGTACATGCACATATTCACACAAACAGCATAAAAATCATTCTAAAAATCATGAATATTTATGTTTAAATAAAAGGTACCTACCTGGAATGAGCTGACCCAGTAACTGATGGCATCTGGGAAGGCTGAATACAGCTACTATGACCAAAAAAGGATAGTGTTTCCATTTCATGATGTGTCCTTCCTTGCATTACACCAGCTCAGCAGTGCTAACGTAAATGTTACCTACAACACACAATGGAAATAAGAACGGACAAATTAATGTTAAATTTAAGATACTTCCAAATACTTTTGCCCAGTGTAACTCTATGAAACATAATGGTTTCAATAGAGTTTCAGCTACTAAAATAATCACAGAATGGTTTGGGTTGGAAGGGACCTTAATTATCATCTAGTTCCAATCCCCCTTACATGGGCAGGGACATACTCCACTAGACCAGGTTGTTAAAAGCCCCTTCCAACCTGGCCTTGAACACTGCCAGGGTTGAGGCATAATGTTAAATTTTCTAACAACCAGGAAGTTGTAACCTACAACCAGAATATTAACTATTCTCGCAGAGCAGACAACCGCAAAACAGGTGTTTTAAAGAGAGGCATGAGGAACCCCATAGTGCACATGTATATTTAGGTGCTGCATGTTGTTTGGTCAAGTTATTAAAGAAATTGATGAGTTCAGCAAGATAAGTCAGTGTAGATTTAATTCATCTCAGTTCAAAGATCTACTTAAATGCTTGCTCAAGTTGAAAACGCTTCAACGCTATTCAGCTTTCTATACAAGTAGGGTTAAAATTTTGCAGTAGTCTTCTTATGACAGAGCACTTTGCTGAATGAGGATTAAGGATAGTTTTACCCAGTAATAACTTGGAAAAAAAAAAATCAAAGTAACTTTCTGCTGAGTTTTGGTGTCTTTAAAGGCAGAAAATTTTCATCTGACTAACAGGAAAAGAGAAACTAATGAAGGAAGAAAATCTTTTGAATCAAAATATGTCTTTCAGACTCATTTTTTGACCACCACAATTGTAGGTTGCAAAGTATTCACAACGCCACCACTGGTGAAAAATAACCTCTGCTCATTCTACACATTTCTTACACTCCAGATACATTAGTGCTTAGTAAGGACTATGCCAGAACTATTCAGGCCTTGTTTATAGCACACAAACTGCTCAAAATGCCTTTCATTTTAAGCTTTCTAAAAAACACATGGTAATTTTTTCAGATGATCATAGGTTTTAAAAAGCATTTTTTTTCTATATAACCTCTTTAATTAAATACACACTCTGTAAATAACTGGGCTTAGTATTTTGATTTGGGTTTTTTCTATTGTGGGGGTGAGGGTTTTTTGCCACCCCCTCCCCTTTTTGTTACAAGGACCTTTACCTGAATACATACTAAAATACGTTACTTCAATGTCCCATATACTGCATGGTATCTGAGGTTCTTGAGGAGTTCTTGATGACAAAAGAGGTGCTATTTTAAGTGCCTTTCAAGTTACTAGATACACAATTGCCTGACCCTAACCAACAATTAGAGATCACTGAACACAACTGTAAATGTGAAGCAGGCTGATGCATTAAGCTCTACTTCAACAATAAATAACTATGTGAGACCTTGATAACATTACAACTGCGCTTCTCATTTCTCTCTCGTACTCATTTGCCTTGTAGTTAAGAATACATACTTAGAGATGAACAGTTTGGATTACAAGTCCTACATCACCTAAAGCCAGAAGATAGTATTAGAACAGTTAGAAACCTATAGTGCTATCAGTTGCTTCTTCAGTCTGCTGAGACAGAGAATTTTCAGCTGTAAACCTAATATATATTTAATGACTGCAGGTAGAAGAGTTGTATTTTTACTGGGAGTGTTCAATGTCATCTGATCATTTTGGATGTTAAAAAATGCATAAATAAATTAAATATTAATAGATTTAATCACCTACACATGCCGCATTTTACATTTGCTTTTTGTGTTATACCTGCACTTCTATTGTCTTACCAATCAGAAATAAGAATACTCCATTTCCTGCTACAGCTATTACTTGAATCCTTGTACTGGGTTTTTGTGGCAAAGTTTTGGTAGGAGGGAGGCTACACAGGTGGCTTCTGTGAGAAGCTGCTAGAAGTTTCCCCCATGTCCAACAGAGTCAATGCCAGCCGGCTCCAACATGAATCCCATATGGAGCAGGGGGATGCTCAAAGAATGCCATGTTACATGCTGCTCTAGATGCTATTCATGATATGACTCCAAAACTGAAATGAGGATTTGCAACTTCAGGCCTTTCAAATATCAATCTCTTTCTCTTTACAGCAATAGAGATTTGCTTAAAAAAATTATTTAACACTGACTTCATATTCCTATAGTTTCTTCATCTTTACTTTCTGCCTTCAAACACAAGATTGTGTTGTTCCTAATGCAAAGCTGATGAGGCAGCCCTTTGAACTTGATTCACAAAACAAAAAGTAACATAATAAATTCCCCTGCAGCCCATGGAAAAGGACCACAGTGGAGCAGATATCCATGCTGCAGTCCATGGGGGACCACATGCTGCAGCAGGTCGACATGTTCTGAAGGAAGCTGCTGCCTATGGACAGACCATGAAGGAGGAGATCTATTCCTGAAGGACTGCAATCCATGCGAAGTAACCACAGTGGAAAAGTGTGAGGAGGAAGGAGAGGCAGAGAGGAGCTGTTATGAACAGATTTCAACTTCCCATCCTCCATCCGCCTGCATCATTCCAGGGAAATGAGGCGGGGGGGGGGGGGGAAGGGGGGGAGAGGTAGTTGGTGATGAAGAGGTGAAGTTGAGCCTAGGAAAAATGTGGTGCTGGGGATGTTTTATGTCTTTCTCACCATCTAACTCTATTTTAATCAGCAATAAATTCTGCTCTTTAGCCAAGGTTAACCCACCGCAACAGTAAAGCTGGTGGGGGACATCCTAGCAACATATTTTATAGAACTTGTCCTGTATATTAAGGAATGAATCCAGAGTTTTTTGTTTCCACATCTCTCTTCCATTTACTTAAACTGGTAAACTATGACTACTTTTTAATACCTTTTTATAGGAGAGAGCTCCACAGAGAGCTCAGACCTGCCTGCCTGGCTTCTTTGTTACAACCTTTCTGCCCTCTAATTATACTTGTGGTTTATGTTTGAACTACAATATGTAATTCTAAAACTCAAAATTATTTCAGTGTTATTAAAAACATTATTCTTACAGAAAATTTCAGTCAAGACGGCTTTCATGAAGCGAAATAACTTTAATATGAAAAGAAAGCTTTTTAGTCTACGGTTTGGAAACAATTCCTGTAGATATACCTTGAAAACAATCCTGAATAGGCGGCTACTGCTCTATATTGGAAGTATAGTGCTTTCTTCTGAAATAGTAGCCTTATCAAAGGAAAGATAAAGTAGAAAAAGATGTCACCAGAATTGAAAATGGTTTTCAGATAGAAGTTGGGTTCAGCAGAAGAGAAATAAGATCTTTCTTATCATAGACTACTGTCACATTCTCACAATTCAAGCGCTATACTATAGTGGAAGATACTCACAGAAATGTATTGCAACCAAAGGGCTTCAGCTGTCAATGTAAAACACTGCTTCCCTTAGTATGTAGTAAAAGCCTATGAAGTATCTGCCACATGTATTTAGAGCTTCTATTCATATACATATTTCTCCATGCCATCACATTTAACTTTTTTACTGTAAAAGCTGAACTAAATGTTTGTGTTTGCTTCTTCTCTGCAATTAGCCTTTTAGTGTCTGAAATGCAGAACTCATAATGTACAGTTAAGGACTGGAACTAATTAGTTGTTGCCAGAAGTAGGATGCACTCAACATATATAAACTTCAACTGGACTGAAACCTCGCTTAACTCCCTATCAAATAACTGCAGACCCACGCCAGAATGTGCATGAAAAGATTCAGTTCCAATGCACTGTCCAGAGTGCACAATGAAGATAAACGCTAGCTCCTGTATGACATTATAATCATTAAAGAATCAATGGCAAATTAAACTGCACAAACCCAGAGGGGAAAGAAGCACTGTGGTAAATGCAGGGAAAGAGTCTAATCAATTATTTTCTTCCACTTCCTAAGTGTAAGGCTATTTATCACTATTGCCAGTGCAGCATTCTGCAGAAGAAGAAACAACACTTGAGACCAGGCCAAAACCAATGCTAGTTTTCCTTAAGTCCATACCCCTGCTTAATTTTTTAGATTTTGACAATGTGTTCAATAGAAAAAAAGGACACAAAGGTCAGGTAATTAAGATTCTAACTTGTAAAAATAACTTCCTTTCATACAAATCTATATATTTTGGCTAATAATATGCTGAAGATTGTTTGCATAGAGAATGAGACAGAATTTTTATTTGCCATGTACCCAAAGGCCATTTTGGAGTGTACTGGCAAAACTTTACTGAAAGGAATAAAAAGTTAAAATCTGCCTTTTGAAGCAATGTTAACTTATTTTAAACCCAAAAAGTATTTAAAGCTTGTCATGGCCTTGTTAGGTCTGCTGATACTGGATGGACTTTCCCATACTTTCAATCCCTTAGTTAGAAAGTCCTAAAGTCTCTTAGTCGGACACCTAGTTATCTGGTCATTTCTGCTTAGACTGACACTACTGAACTTACTCCTCCTGTGCATTATCATCAGTAAAGTTATACATCATTGAAATTAAGAACTTCCCTTTACTATTTTAAATATCTTGTCTTTGTTAAGCTAAATTTATCTGGAGTTTCAGGAGGATGAGAAGGAAGCACTGCCATACATTGTATCAACTGTTTCCATTTAGGAGCAAGAATGACAACCCTTGATGAACTAGGGGAAAAAACTCTGGCAAGCTCCTTTTGTGTTGTAAAGTAAATCACCTCTACTATGATTAGTGAAGCTAAAAAAAGAAAAATACACAGATCTATTTAAACCAGAGTAGTTATCAGTACAGAGCATCTAAACATCTGGACTGTGATCCTTTCAGTGACAGTTCCTGCAGACATTCATGAAGCTCATCTTGTTTAATATTTTAATATTAAAAAATATTTGCTTCTTTAGAACCAATTGTTAGGCCAGTTTTAATAATTATGATGCGTATATGATTATTTTATATATATTATATATTATATACATATATGATTATGATTATTACTTATTTTAAGCTATGGGTTTGTTAATGGTTTAAATGCAGTGAAAAAAACAAGAGTAAAATAATTAGTAATAATAGTAGTAA